AATAATGAAAACATCTCTATTTTGAAAATTCTCTGAATCATTGCACTTTGGTAGTGATGTCTCATGCTGTCTTAGAATAATTAATGCATTTAAAGAGGTGTCAGACTGGGATATTGTGTGTGTGTGTGTGTGTGTGTGTGTGTGTGTGTGTGTGTGTGTGTGTGTGTGTGTGTGTATGTATTAGGAGACACATCAATGTTAGGGAAGACCCAGGAATATAGTGTATTGAGGTACCAAATACTGGACAAAATTGTGAATTAACATTTGTTCATTTAGATTTGAGAAAAGAGGTATAAAAAAGAAAGGACCATTAGACCTCTCTTTCCCCTCAACTCTAGCTCTTTCTCTCCCCCAACTCTCTCTCACTTTCATTCCCTCACCTACTCAAGGGACTTGTATGCTGTTCTAGGCCTTGTCTTCTGAGTGAAGCTTCTGTGGTCTAGACACATTTTTTTTCTACTTTTCTTTGTCCTACATACAGTTAATGCAATTGTCTACCCTGTTAATGCCAAGGCTGACTTTAGACCTGACCAACCTAACACCTGAAATTTGCCTGAATGATACCTCCTACCACAGAGTTCATATTTTTCTCTGAAATTAAAATACTTTTCATTTTGAAATAATTTTTAATTGTTAAAACCTTTTAAAATATAAAACATTCTTAAGGATATTTCAGGCATTTAAGCATTCTAGTGTTTTTCATCCTGTATTCAAGAAAAAAAGATAGTTTTTTTTTATTATTTTTGTTTTGTTTTGTTTTGTTTTTTTTTGAGACGGAGTTTCGCTCTTGTTACCCAGGCTGGAGTGCAATGGCGCAATCTCGGCTCACCGCAACCTCCGCGTCCTGGGTTCAGGCAATTCTCCTGCCTCAGCCTCCTGAGTAGCTGGGATTACAGGCAGGCGCCACCATGCCCAGCTGATTTTTTGTATTTTTAGTAGAGACGGGGTTTCACCATGTTGACCAGGATGGTCTCGATCTCTTGACCTCGTGATCCACCCGCCTTGGCCTCCCAAAGTACTGGGATTACAGGCGTGAGCCACCGCGCCCGGCCTGTTTAATAAAATCATCAAGAGTGGGTAACACCTTAGTCTTAAGGTAATTTGTTTGTTTGAGATGGAGTTTCGGTCTTGTTAGCCAGGCTGGAGTGCTATGGCGCGATCTCGGCTCACCGCAACCTCTGCCTCCTGGGTACAAGCAATTCTCCTGCCTCAGCCTCCTGAGTAGCTGGGACTACAGGTGCGTGCCACCATGCCCAGCTAATTTTTGTATTTTTAGTAGAGATGGGGTTTCACCTTGTTGACCAGGATCGTCTTGATCTCTTGACTTCATGATCCACCCACCTTGGCCTCCCAAAGTGCTGGGATTATAGGGGTGAGCCACCGTGCCCGGCCATAATTTGTTATTTTCATACTTTGTATCTTTTCCCCGCTTTTTAAATTCTAGTATCCATATCTGAAGTTTGCTGTATTATGTCTACTATATACAGTTTGTTTTTAAGGCAAAAGCTTTAAGGCACATTCTAGAATTCTTGAATTATCTTTTAGAAACAGTTACCTTATGAATAAAATATCAACCTAAATATAGGGTAGTTTGGATTTCACTATTGTCTTCTTTTCTGAATTGCTGGGAATATAGGCACTTGATACTTGTTTATTTGACTTCATCGTGACCTTGTTATCATTTTGAATGCTTCAGATTCTCGAATTGCACATTGAAAGAAGACCCATTCCTTGCTTAGTTGCCCTTGTACAGTGTCAATTTTAATGTCTAATATTTTGAGCTGCTTGAGAAAAGTAGGATTATCATATAAGACATATATACCCATTTTATAAAAAGAAAACTTGTATTTCTCAGTTTGTACCTTATTTCCTTGGGTACTGAATATTTGTGGCCACTTAAGCAAAGCCATGTAATAAATTACTGTAGCATAGTCTGATCCCTAAAATATGGGTTAATTTTTTTTCTCCCCGTAGGATATAATTTTTTTTCATTAACCACTTTCACTTAAGTAAAAGGACATCTTTTAACTGCTTTAGAAGTAGCCACAATGCTTAACTTGTATAGTTGCTGAATCATGCTTTTTCCTGTCTTTCTTTCTGATTAACTTTCTCTGAGCAACTTCGTCTTATATTTACATTAGCATCCACTCATTTGAACTAATAGTTACAGTTACAGTAACATATAACAATATTTAACTGTAATAGTTAATAAAAGCTAACATTTACTGAATGCCTACTGTGTGCCAAAGGACTAAGACCCAGGGCAAAACTCTTTTTTAGGACAAGGTTTGAATTTTAATAGTGAAGCTGAGAATATGCCGGAATGTTGTATAATTGGCTGTGTTGCATAGTGAGATAATGTAATTTCAGTGTATGGAAAACATGTGACAGCTCTTTGTTGTTGCCTGCCACATAGGCTTACATTAGCCTTAATTTCCTGTTCTTCATATATCATTATGCCTATATTTTTATAGTCTTGTTTATACCAGTCTGAATCTTCCTAAATGATGACATAGCATTAATCATTGTAGGTACAGTGATATGAGGTCTAAATTATGTTAGAATTCATGTTTTTTTTTTTAAAGGAAATTATGACTTTTTTGAATCTTATAACAGATTTTCCATTCCTACCATCAAAAAGAATTGTCCATATGCTCATGGTGCTGTACAAACCAAATACCGTTTGTGTTTTAAAGAATTCACATGGCTATTAAGCAAATCCTGGATATTGGACAAATAGCAATAAAGGTTTAAAAAAATGAAGTTTCAGTTAAAAAAAACTTACTCCCCACCCCCAGGGATGAAATCAAAGCATGAATTTAGAATTCGGAATAAGTATTGCTTATGACATCAAATTTTATTGTGATGTATCAGGTGGAAATTTTACCAACATTTTTCTTAAAGCAAAAAACTCAGGCTATGTGTATATTGAATGCTAGTACATTCTAATTTCCCTTCTCCTTCTCCTTTTCCCCAACTTCCTCTTCCCTCTCCCTGTTTCTCATCTCTCTCTCTCCTTCTTTTTGATCAGTAATGTTTTAGAGTTGAAAGCTATGCTAAGGGTACCCATTTCTTTTCAGAATAATTTAACTTTTCTTCTTAAGATTTTGTGAGCATCCATTCCGTATGTAAAGAGCATTTATTATGCCCAATGGAAGTGAGAGAGTTGTGGGACTACCCCTTAATAAGACCAAATCATACCACAAATATCCACCTTAGTTTAGTGGTTGAGCAGGACTTGTTTATATATTTGTTTATATATTGTTTGTATATTCAATAAATATACATTTATTGAACAGCTATTAAAATATGTACACTGACTTTCCATAAAATTTCATATACATTTCAAAACCAGGGCAATATTTTAAATATGTTTTAATGATACTATGTTGTGTTTACTGAGTGAAATTGATCCACCATGGAGCTGAAATTAGTACTCTTAATTTTAAGCTTTATTTCTTAAGAAAAAATATTCATGACTTTATAGCTACTGTGATCCCCATGATATTAAAAAAAAAAAAGTTGGTAAAATTCTGTGATGAGTTTGTGTATAATAAACTTCTATCAAACCCATTCTATTTTTTTAATTTTTAATTTTTGTGGGTACATAGTAGGCATATTTATGGGGTGCATTAGATATTCTGATACAGATATACAATGCATAATCACATCAGGGTAAATGAGGTATCTATCCCTTCAAGCATTTATCCTTTCTTTGTGTTACAAGTAATCCAATTATATTTGTTTAGTTGTTTCATTTCTATTTTTATTTATTTATTTAGATACAGGGTCTCACTCTATTGCCCAGGCTGCAGTGTGGTGGCACAATCATGGCTCACTGCAGCCTTGAACTCTTAGGCCCCCTTCCCACATCTCTACCCCCCTCCTCCTGTGGCTGAGACTGCAGGCATGTACCACCATGCCCAGCTAATTTGTAAATTTTTTTGTAGAGATGGGGGTCTCACTGTGTTACCCAAGTTGGTGTCAAACTCCTGGGCTCAAGAGACCCTCATTCCTTAGCCTCCAAAAGTGCTGGAATTGTAGGCATGAGCCATCACGCCCAGCCTCTTAGTTATTTTAAAATGTACAATAAATTATTGTTGACTATAGTCACTCTGTTGTTCTATCAAATACTAGATCTTATTAATTCTAATTATATTTGTACTCAACACATTTTCTATCCTAAGCTGTACCAAAACCATTTCCACTGGATGTATTCCATACAAATTTTATTTTGATTGGTTATTTTGACTTGCTAGAGTTCTAGTAAAATGCTGAGGATAACTATTATATTTCTAATGAAGTTTACAAAAATATTGAACACTTGTAAAATTGAGTAACCTATCATCCATGACCGTGAATAATCAACTTTACTTTAGCTTGATTTAAAAACTTTTTTTTAGGAATCCAGTATTTGTAATAGTTTTATCAGATCTATCTAGTTTTAAACTCTTAAATTACCTAGAAAAACCTAAAGCATACTCACTCAGTGGAATGTCTGTAAGGTTTCTCTGTGAATACAAACAGAGAATATTTGCTATGGCCTCAGAAAAACAAGTTTCAGCATTTGATTCTAGGGGAAAAGCATTTTATGTTTTACTTGGTAGGAATAGGGATTATGCAGGTAAGAGTCAATATACATTGAAATTCTTAAAGAATTAATCCAATATAAATATAAAGAAGCTATGATTTATTTGAAATTCTTAACCTCTCTTTCAGGGATTTATTACATTTATTTATAATAGTTTCTTAGTCCTGTATTTTGGGAGGCTATATTAAGATATAGGAGTACAGAACTTTTTTTTTTTTTTTTTTTTTTTTTACTTTTGAGACTTATGGGAGTAATAGAGGGGATTAATCTATGGAATAGATCTGAAACAAGGCTGATAGACTTAGATTTAAACAATTTCAGTAATTAAAAGCACACTGAATCTAATGAGATCTGGCACTTGTTTTTTCTGAAAACTGCTTTTTTTTTCTCTCTCTCCAACTTCTTACAGGAGCCCAATTTCCTCCAATTGCAGCACAGGACCTTCCTCTTGTTCTAAAGGCTGGCTACCTTGAAAAACGCAGAAAAGGTAAACTTTAGGTTCTAATGAAAAAATCTAAAAATGGTTTCGTCCTTAGATAGAGCATGTTTGTAGTATATATGTGGAGGCAATGTTCTTTTTAGGTTATTGAAGAGTTTTAAGACTGTAAGAAAATCTGGATGACATTATCCAGACCACAAAATATAGTTCTTAGCTTTAAATAAATTTTAATTAGAAAACAATAGGTCATGTTTTCAGTTGTCAACCTTGATTATTTGTAAATTATTCAGGAGCTGTTTCCTGCCTCTTAAAGGAAGGCTGCAGGCCGTGACTATATTCTTAAGCATGGGATTTCTCACCAATATCTCACTGGGCTCAGCAGCAGGTTCTCCTGTGTCTGACCTGGCATGCACCATGGTTCAGATCAAGCCTGGCAGCTTGTCTGCCATTGTCTATTTTTCATTTCAGTGTTCCTCTCCATCGGTTATGATAATTGGGAGTTGACCATATGGTCTCACTCTTTCAACACCGATATTTAATGGACATGAAATATGGAGGTGGTGTTACAATGTAAGAAATGAAAAGCAGACAGTCTTTTCACTACCATTCTGCTTATCTCTCTGGTAGTCCCTTTGGGCTTTTCTATTTATATATCATTTTGCTTTTCTTACCTTTCTTGGCTGAATTTTAAAACTGGAAGAGATAACAGAAATAATCTAGGTTAGCTCCCCCGCTTCCTTTTATAACAGATGAGAAACTGAGACCCAGATGGATCAGTTATCTCAAGATTGCATAGTCAGATGCTTCTTTGACTATCCCTGTCAGAAAACTTTGTTAGCCGTGCTGTTGCTCCCGTAAGTATGGCAGCCCCATAGCTACTTTACTTTATTCTCTTTAGCTTGTTGGTTTGTTGCTGTTTTGTCTCTTGGAAAAGAAGATACAAATTAGTCATAGAATGTTAGAGCTCAAAGGAAGCTTTGAAATCATATTAACTAACTTTTTCTGTTACAGTAAGGAAATGGCCTTACATTTTCCCCTCTTTATTGCAGATCACAGCTTTCTGGGATTTGAATGGCAGAAACGGTGGTGTGCTCTCAGTAAAACGGTATTCTATTATTATGGAAGTGATAAAGGTAGTGTTGGTGTCCAATTATATTAACTACTATTGTGTAAGAATTTTTTGGCCATCCCTTCCTTCTCTTTTGGGTACAGAGTAACTGAAGATGACCAGATAAATAATAACTGAGTATTTTAACAATTATAATCTTATTAATTTGATTCATTTCATTATTTGACAAATGCTCCAAATACCAAAATGCCCTCACAGCTAAAACAATTGTGTTGTATTGAATTAGAAAAGAGAGTAAAATAACTTTAATCTGCCTGGCCTTTTATCTTAGGATTTATTTATTTTCCAGCCTACAGTTGTAGAATTTCTGGGAACGTTAAGAACATAGGGCTGTGAGAGTTTCAATGGCAGAAAAATAGATTATTTTCCTTAAATATTTTAAATGAAAATTAGATAAAATTAAATATGCACAGCCCCTTTCTTAGCTCTCTTTACAGATTTAAGGAATAACAGCAAACATGTATATAGAATTTACTACGTACTGGGCACTCTTCTAAGCACTCTGTTTAAAGTGCATTAGCTATATTAACTTGTTTAGCTCACAACAACTCTGCAAGTACTATTATTGGCACCATTAATTTTACTTTTAGGAAAACTGAGAACAGAGAGGTTAAATGACTTGTTCAAGGTCACAGAGTTGGAAAATGGCAGATCTAGGAATTTTTTTTCCTTTGTTTTTAAGTGACAGAGTCTTCCCTTGGTGCCTAGACTGGAGAGCAGTGGCTTTTCACAGTTGCAGTCATCACACCCTACGGCCTCAAACTCCTGGGCTCAAGTGATCTGCCTGTGTCAGTCTCCCAGGTAGCTGGGAATACAGGTGCACACTGCTGCACCCAGCTCATATTTGAGATTTTAACCTAGGGAGTATGGTTAAGAGTCCATGTTCTTAACCACTATTGTCACTACATTAATTTAAAAATAATAAGATACATTTTGTAACTTCATTGTTAATAAAGATCTCAGTCCCAGTTCACATAAACCTATTATTTGAACACATGAAGCCACAAAATAATGAAATGCAAAGATTGTAAGCTTTCTGAGTTGCGCTTTATTCTAGAGAAAACAGGCTAGGAGTTGAGTATTATAAAGTAAAGGTTATATCGAAATAACGTTCATTTCCAGAAAGGACACTTTAAGGAGAAAAAGACAAAGTATCACTGAGTGTAAGCTTTCCTATGGAATTGTTATCAGTGTTGTTTGGAAATTTTTTTATTTGACTTTACTTACAGTTTTTGGAGGTTTTTTCCTCTGTTCTAAAAACTTACAGTAAGATTGTCATATTTCAGATAAGTCTGAAATACTTACCTAATGCTAGAAGTTGTTCTTACCTTTTGGCTAGTGAGATTAACTAATTAATTTAGTAGGTAGTTTGCATTCCATCACTAATTTACAGTATGTTCAAATGTACTAATCGCATTAGTGAAGTGTAAACTGTGTAAACAGCTATAAACAAGCATCTTTCTTCTGCTAAGCGTCAGTAGTGAAGTAGGTCAGAAAATTTAGAGTCCAAGTTCAGTTACAATTATCATAGAAATATGGTTTTGTATCATATTGTAAATTTTGATCAAGATATTACCTGTCCACAAAATATCCTCTTTTTCACCATACCAGGGGAGGGAGGTTTCAAATCCTTGTGACTTTGATTCAATTAGGCTTCTCATTTCTAATTTCTTTAAGAATCAATGAATACTAATGTCAGTGTTTCCTCCATTTCTAGTCCTGACTGGCATACAATAATGGTTAGGCCAAAGATTAGCAAGAGTTTTCCCAAAACCCAAAGCATGCTAATATTTACTTCAAACACTGATATAATATATTCAATGAAAACATTTTAATTAGAATTATTTGGATATGAGTTACATTCCTTTTTTTTCTTTTTTAGAGATGAGGGGTCCTCACTCTGTCACCCAAGCTGGGTGCAGTGGTGTCCTCATAGCTCACTGCAACCTTGAATTCTTGGGTTCATTTTTATTCTTATTTGATGAGACCTAATGTTAGTAACATTCTTTGTAATTTGCATTTTAACTACTTTGTGATCCATTTAGCCCTTTCTGTCTTTTCTGTTACTGGAAAGGAATCTCAATTGAGACCCCAAGAAAGGGTTCTTGGATCTCGTGCAAGAAAGAATTTGAGGCGAATCCATAGAGGAAAGTGAAAGCAAGTTTATTAAGAAAGTAAAAAAAGAATGGCTACTCCATAGGCAGAGCAGCAGCATAGGCTGCTCAGCTGTTTACACTTATTGTTACTTTTGATTATTTGTTAAACAAGGGGTGGATTATTCACGAGTTTTCCTGAAAAGGGGTGGGAAGTTCCCAGAACTGAGGGTTTCTCCCCTTTTTAAACCATATATGGTAATTTCCTGTTGTTGCCATGGCATTTGTAAACTATCATGGCACTGGTGGGAATGTCTTTTAGCATACTAACACATTATAATTAGCATATAATGAGCAATGCGGATAACCAAAGATCACTTTCATTGCCTCACTTTCATTGCCATCTTGGTTTTGGTGGGTTTTGGACAGCTGCTTTACTGCATCCTTTCATCAGCAAGGTCTTGTGCCAACCTCCTATCTCATTCTGTGACTAAGAATGCCTAACCTCCTAGGAATGCAGCCCAGTAGGTCAAAGCCTTATTTTACCCAGCCCCTATTCAAGATGGAGTTGCTCTGGTTTAAACGCCTCTGACACTTCCACTTTTAAAAAATTACCATTTTAGCATTCCTTTTTCATGTTGATGTATGAAGATATGGCTTCTATCTCCTTAAATTTTTCTTTTACTTTGTAGCCTCCTGTTTCCAGTGAAATTTTAGATTTGTTTATAGTGGTTCTTTTTTCTGTTGGCAGTTTCCTTTGAAATTCTTAGCCAGTTCCTCTCTTTTAAGGGACTCCAAACAGAGTCCCTTAAATCATTTTTTAATCACTTGTTTGGCATAATCCCAATTTCTTCCCTTTTATCTTTTTCTTATCAGGAAAATATGTCAATTTTTTTTTCTTTAGTGAAATTAGATATGATTTGTATAGCCTTACTTACTGTATGTGTGAACCATTTACCTAATGGGAAGAGCTCATATCTAGATATATGAGAACTATCATCCTCCAACTAAGTAGGATTTAGATAAATGGATTATAGAGGCACAGAAGGAGTTGACACCACTTACAGGTTAAAGTGTGCTTTATTACTGCTTGACAGATACATAGTTCACATTTTCTACTATATTGTGTGTTCCAAAAAAACATACTGACCTATCAAGATAGTAGTGGCTTAGAAAGAGTAGTTCCAATATGTAAGGTAAATAATGCACTTACCATTGTACCTATAAATATTGTCTGTATTTATTATTTATAGCCATTTGGGACACTTAAGTAACAAATACATACAGTATATATTTTAACACCTTATGAAATCTCATTCATCCTTTCATCTCCTCCCTTTTCTTTTGATTGTCATGAGTCTCATTTATGAAAATTCTTAGGTCCTAGATGTTCAGACTTCCTTCAAGTCGTTCGTTCGTTCATTGACTTACTCATTCTTTTTTTTAAATTTGATAAATATTTTTTCAAACACTTGGTAGCTAGTAGGCATTGAGGATCCAAAGATCCTTAGAGGTGGTCACAATTTGGGTTTTGTTGTTATCAGTGAGAGAGTGAAGGATGCTGTGGGGTTGGAGGTGGGAACTGGGAGGTAAACTAACCATTTCAATGTAGTACAGTAAGTAATTTAAATAAGATACTTTCGATCAGGAGGGAAAGCTAACTGCCTAGGGAACTTAAGGAAGACTTCCTGATGGAGGGAATACTTCATTGGGCCTGAAAGAATGAGTAGGAGCTTGTTGGTTGAATGCTATGGTATGAATGTATGTGTACCTCCAAAATTCATATGTTGGAAATTAACTCCCAAGGAGATTGTATTAAGAGCTGGGGCTCTGGGGAGGTGATTAAGCCATGAGGGCTTCACCCTCAAAAATGGGATATGTCTCTTTATAAAAAAGGCTAGAGAGAGCTGTGGAACCCCTCTTTTGCCTTTGTGCCATCTGATGGTAGAGCATTCATCTCTTCTGGAGGATGCAGCAACAAGGTAGTATCTTGAAGCAGAGGGCAGCCTTCACCAGCCACTGACCCTGCTGGTGTCTTGATCTTGGACTTGTCAGCTGCCAAAACTGTGAGAAATAGATTTCTGTTGTTTATTAATTACCCAGTTTTGGGTGTTATAGCAGCACAAACAGACTAAGACAGAGAAGAAGGGTAAAATGGGAATAGCAGAGTTTCTGAGTCATGAAAGAATGTGGATGGGATCAAAGATGGGATGTAGGCTGGAGCTTGGAGTGAGTGAGGGGAGGGAGCACATAAGGCTAAAGAAGTGAACTAGACCAGGTTGATAAGAACCTTCTGAGAATAAGGGCCTTGCTAAAGATTTTATTTTGAATATGACCTTCAAGCAGAGGGTTATACGACCATTTTTGGTTTTTAGGAAGTACCTGTAATAGGATTACGGAGAATGGATTGGGATGGATAGAGTAGTCTGGGTCAAGAGGACCATTTAGCATGACTTCGGAGTAGTCTAAACAAGAGAGGTCAACAGAGAGCTGTTGAGAGGCAGAGCAAGGATTTAATCCAGATCTCTTTGGCTCCAAAGCTATGCTTTTTCTACAACTTGGTGGTATTACCAACCCCTCCAAGGTGCCCATAAGTGATGGCCTATTTAGGAACCTGTTCCAAATTATTGTGTGTGTGTGTGTGTGTGTGGTTTTTTTTCCTGCTTATTTGCTGTATGATCTTGAATCAACATTATGATATAAAACTAGTCTCTCCCCATTTTTAAGGAGGGGATTGTCAGTTCTTAGTATCTCCTTTCAGGGCTTTTGCTGAACCCTGATTAAAGAATACACGAGCACCATGTAGTAAATGGGAGCTACAAGTAGCCCTGATCCACGAAGTCATTGACAGGTTATTATATCATGTGATTTTAATTTTTTATAATATCTTTTTAATATATAACAAAAGTCA